TTGTACTAAATTTACCTTCATGATCAGCCTATCACAGTCCACTGCTGGACATAGGCCTCTCCCATTGCACGTCACTTAGATCGATTTTGGGCTTCTCGCATCCAAATTTACCTTATTTCAGACATAATAATTCTCTCTATTGATTTCTGCACTTATTTGTACAAAAAACCATGTTCAACGTATGCTTCCATAGGTAGATTAGGTAATTACCATGACGCACAAATTATTCGAGTGGGTATTTATTTTACAAATTTATTGTAAAATGACTCAATATTGTGTTAAAATGGTAATCAAACTCTGACGTTCATTTCTTGATAAATTCTCCTCTTCCATTACTTGAATTCTAGAAAGTCGACCGGATGGCGTAGTGGTTTGTGTAAAGGACTGCTATTCCAAAGGTCGCGTTTTCGATTCCCGCTCAAGTCAAACATTTGTGTGCATGAACATTTAATGTTTGATTTGGTCTGGGTGTTTCTATGTATAATATGTATGTATTTACAAAAAAAAAGTATATATGTATTTATATCAGTTGTCTAGTAGCCATAGTACAAGCTCTGCTTAGTTTGGGACTAGATGGCGTTGTGTGAATGTGGTACAAAAAAAAAAAAAAAAAGTTCTACCACGGAAGCAACAAAGTTTTTTTGGTTCTCCACTCAGTGTACACTGCCAATGAATGCTTCTTTTCTTTCTTCCTTCCTTCTCATCCTCGGATAAAAAAGGAAACTTGCTTTTTAATCCCGAAATAGCCATACGTGTACCTGACTCCAAACTCTTCGAACTCCTGCAATCTGTGCAGTCTCTGCTCCACTTAGCTCTGGATTTATCGATTTTTATATCCCTACCTCAATTAACTTTCTTCTTTTCTTCTCTTGTTAGGCTAAAAATGAGTACATTCTCAAGGAGGGTTTGCGGCAGGCAGGCGGCGGCCACATAACAGAACAGCCAGTTTTATTTTGTACCGATTTTAAATAGAGAAGCATCAAGAAGATGAGGATTTTGTCGCGTATCTGTGTTATGTTAGAATCATGTCGAAACCAATAGAAAGTCAATGGTTTTAATTGAGTAGGAGTAAAAACTATAGTGGAGATTGGTGTGATCATATCTTAAAGCCAAATAAATTAAATTTATGATTTTTTATAACAAAACTCTCTCTCGAAACTGACGAAAAATACCTTGACAAGTGACCAATCAAATCTCTGTATGTAGCCCTATGGTGTATTGCGGCCATGTTTTTTTAACCATTCTGTATAAAAAAACCCCGAACCCCTGATAAATAATTATAATAATATGTATTATTAATTGTATTCATCAGTTTATTATCCCAAACATTGTTGATACACAAAGGAACTAAAACACACGTCGACATCATCTTTTATCAACAGATGTCTCTATAAATAAAACATAATTCAATAGCCTCTATTCATCTCTTTTATACACACACGAAACAATATCTCTGTTCTACTCCCTCGCATATTCAAAATGGCCAGTATGCCTTCATTGTAATTCAATAAAAGTTTGTATTCGTTCGGTATTATTTTAATGAAATTTTTTCGTTTCCATTTTCTTCGGCGAGGGCGTGCCTTTATTATGGTAGGTATAATACGACTGTGGTTTTTTTCTCATTCACTATGTTCTTTCCACAAAGAACGGTATACATTGACGATTGTGTTCAATGAATCGTTTTGGCATATTCAGTGACTATCCGATGTAAATCGTTTTAAGAGTTTCGATTACATTTTAATGGTTGTGCTTATTTGAATGAGTGCGTTCGACGCTTTATTATGAAGTCCAAATTTTTATCGTTTTCTTTTTATTTCCATAACTTATGTATTCCTTTATATTACACAATGACATAAATACATGCTCTTTTCTTGTATTTGTTTATTGCATTATGATAAAAGGGTTATTTATTTGGCACACACTTATACCTAGTTCGGCTCGACAGGAGTGATTCCACGGCCTCACAGGAAAACGGTGTTAAGAAATTACATGGAGATTATTTCTACTTTTAAATCATATTCATTTGATGAAATGATTGGTTTTAGTCACAGCGTTTTCACATGTGATTGTGATTTCGTCATAGACAAAGGAAAAGTCATTAAAATCAATCAAAATTCTTTTTATCAAAGATTACAACCTTTTTTTAGAGATCGAACTTGGCGAGTCTTGCGCTTGCGTAATAATAATAATTAAGTAGCAGTGGTTTTGTAAATCAGTCGCAGGTGTGACTATATGATTTATTAATCATATGCTTCATTATATGTGATGGTTATATTATTCCATTCCTACTTTTCACTGAGTTAGTAAGTTTAGGTTTAGTAGGCCATGGACAGTGGTCAGTGTAATATTTATTTTTAAACAAATCACAAAAATTATACTAAATTAAATCAAGCTCAATTTTTTTTCATTAATTTTCGTCGTATATATTAAATTATTCATCACACATCACATCAACAGCCTATACTAGTCCACTGCTGGACATAGGCCTCTCCTTAGAAACGGGGTTTTGGCCTACTATACCACGCTGGCCACACGGGTTGATAAAAATAAATTATTATTACAATAATATTTCGAACATCTCACACACAACGCCATCTAGTTTCAAACTAAGCAGAGCTTGTATTATGAAAACTAGATTGACTGTATTGAAAATACATACAAATTGAACATAGTGTAGGAGTATTACATGGGCAACGAGACAACTCACACTTTGGTCGCATCGGCTATAAAAAGCCATCTGTCTCATAGAAAGCGGTTCCCCAGTTGTGACTAATTTGTAGGTATAACATCTCTGTGTGTTGTGAATAAATAGTGTAAGAATTAGGTTAACCTTTAATTTATCAACAACACCTAAAACAGAAAACACGAAAGCTCCGAAATTTGTTCAATTTATTTGCAGATCATACAAACATTTGATCCGAAACAGGAATTGAACCCGAGACCACCGAGGCAGTAGTACCAGCATCAGTAAGTGCCATGAGACGTGACGTGGCCTAAACGTAAATAATTGGAATTCTAAATTGTACTTCTAAAACAGATTTTAGTTAGAAAAATGTATTAGGTAATAATAACAATAAATTCACACACGACCAAAACTAGGCAGAGTCTGTACTACGGTAACCAGACTGCTGATAAACATACTTATATATTTCTAAATACATACATATTATAGATAAATTACACCCAGACACAGAACAAAATGATCGTGCTCATCACCCATTTATTTGTCCTAGGTGGGAATTGAACCCAAGACCTCTCACTTAGTAGTCAGGGTCATTAGCCACAACACCAAGAAGCACGTCATTTTTTACAGTACTTTTAACAGTATTTTAAACTCCCAACAAAAATCACACGTACAAATCAAACAAACAAATTTAATAAACCCGAACTCATAAAATTCGACTCTCGATACATACCTTACCTCCCCCTTACGGGACTCGCCCCCTGGTGTTTAAAAAAACAATAACTTGGGCCATTAAATTCGCACACGTCACTGATGACGAGTTGGTTTCTAATTGCATTCACAATCACTTTTATTTTACACTGTACACGTATAAAATGTTTAATTTATATGTGGTTTATATTGTATTTGTGGTATGATTGGATTGCCTTTGTACATATTAATATATTAAACTTAGACCGCCATGTTTCAAATATTACGTAATTTCTTGTTTAGTACTTACGCAGATCTTCAAAACAGGGCGTCAATTCTGCTATTTTAATATTGTATCAATAGACTGTCGATGGAATTTCGTCGGAATAGTTTTGCACTTTTCTTATTCTACTAACTATGTAACACCAATGGCGTCCCGATGACTTGTCACTGATACAAATGTCGTCGATGTCTTTGTAATAGGTAAACGGTACATTTTAAATTTGTTAGAAAATGATGTATCTAATTTTCCAGATATGGCAATGTTGTTGATATTAACATTGATGACCTATATTATTATATCGGCAGTGTATTGGAACTATGAATTTATGTTAGTAGAATACCGATATTATGACCGATGTCAATGGCATCTCAATAGCGTGTCAACGGAATGACAGTGGCTTGGCGTTAACATAAAATAGCAGAATTGTGGCCCAGGAGTGTTGTGGTAGCACCTTCTTCTATGTTATTTTAGGTTCGCTATTAACGATTAGCTTAAATACAAGTTCCTAGCCTAGCTCACAAACAAGTCCTAATTGTCTAAAACTATTTTTTTTTTTTTTTTTTTATATAGACAACTCCCGCACTAGGTATAAATCCTGTGTCGCGGGGGACTTTACAAACATACATGAAACGGACACAAAGTACACCCAGACTCAGAACAACAATTTGTGGATCACACAAAGTGTTGTCCCATGTGGGGTTTGAACCCACAACAGCGTAATAGGAAGCGACGTGGCGACCGCTTAAACCTCTACGCCATTAGTGCAGTCAAACTGTAACGTTAGCAATCAGCAATCACGAACAAAGTGTAAAAATATATATTCAACAAAATAAATATTCATTCATTTAATCCTTTCTTCATTCATTCATTTATTGTCTATGGTAGAACTAAAAAACCGAATGGTTTAGTTTATTTAACTACTAGCAAGAACCCGCTACTTTGAAAAGCGCAGCCTTAGTGGTGTAGTACGGTACGCAACTGCAGTTCATGAGGCCTCGGGTTCGATTCCCGGACCGGGTTTCTTTTTTTGGGTTTTTCTGAGAGCCCAAATTACTCCTTATACAGATAGTCAAATATTATCAAAATCGGACAGACAGACCGACAAAGAATATTAAAATTGGTTTTTAGGCACAGGTATCGTGAAAATATTCGTATGAGCATGAAAATAACCTATTATTTTGTCATTACAAACATACACTTCAATTTTATTTATTTGTATAGAATAGATCATTTTTTTAGCCTTATCTTTTTGTATGCTTTTGTCCTATTTAAAATTAAAAATAATGGTTTTTTTTTGTTAAAAGTTTGTTTGAATATAAGTCGCTTTGACTATAACAGAAAGAAATGGATAAAAAAACAGGTAGGTATATTTTTAAGACATAATAACTAAGTTTACTAACTTAAGCTGATAAATAGACTTTAAAAAAAAAATGCAAACGTGTTGACATGGTTAAAGCTCCTTTTTTTTTGTTTCGTCATTTTTTTGATTGCTTTTATTGCCTGTTACAAATAAACGTATGTTTTTTCTTCAGTATTAAATAATTGTCTTCACAATGAGCGATCCTCATGTTATTTAATTCACTTGTATAGAGTCCATTGATTGTCTTTTACGCTTGATCAACTGTTATATAGAACAAAACTAGCAACGCATTCTACTCAACTCTTAAAGAACTCTCAAACGTCTGTAGGAACCCCCCTCCACTCAGGGTGCGCAATACGCTAGCCTTTTTGTTTATCCATTGTTAGATATTTCGTTCTTGTCTTATTTTCGTAAAAGCGTGTGAGCTTTGAAGTATGTGTTTTTGATGTAAGAACACAAAACGCATTAAATGTGTTTTAATAACTTCTTTTTTAGGTAAAAAGGTTTTGTTTTGACCGACTTTTAATAATGAGGTTTTCAATTTGATGGTATTTGTATGTTATACTCTATCTGCGTCAATTGTAAAAAAAATTTAGTTATTTTTTGTCGCCTTAGTTATGACTACTAATTTTACATTGAAGTTTTGAAAAGAATAGCATGAGTACCCTTTTTTTTTTCCGTGCTGAAATCCCCTCGGATACCACCTGTCGGTGGCATGTCGGACTCGAACCGACTAAAACCGCACGCCGTCTCGGGTATTAATAGCCTTGGAACCAGGTATACCCTAGAAAGGAAGTCCCTGGTACCCCGACATACCTCGGGTCATCTACAGACGAGTAGACGACCCCCCCGTGTGGGAACCCCATGTTCCCGGTGCTCCCTGGAAGCGAGCGCGCTTCGCAACGCGCTTGCCGCAACCCCGGCCTGCTTCTGCTAGGGTGAAGAATGAGTACCATAACATATCGTTTAGAGCTGAATTTTACCAGTTTGCTCAGTCAGATGGTATCTCGGTGCAATCTGAAGGCCAATTCTCGTAATAAAAGTTCGGACTCGATTCAGTTCTGATCAACTTTCGATCTCACATCTGTTATAAAAAGGTATTTTCGTAGTAAAATAGTAAAGTATTACTAAGACTAGCAGATTACTGATTCAATTTTCTGTTACAATACGATATAATCACATAACAATCAACGTTAGATATAGGTTTAAAGATCTTTATTAATACTCAAGAACTTTACAGTTCAGTTAGTGAGCATAATATAAAAATAAACAAAGTAATAACAAGGAACAGCCATCGTAGGTTTCTAAATCAATTACTCAAAAAAGTTAAGAAAACAGATTGCATTGTCTTATGTACTCACACGAAATTATATTATATTTGTAGGGAGTCCGTTATGGTTAATCACTGCAGTAAGCATTAGATTGCACCATATAATTTTACATTAATTTATAATATAGTATGCACTTTTGCTACTTTATTTCTACTTAATACTTACTACGAAAATACCTTTTATGACAATTGTGAGATAGAAAGCTGATCGAAACTGAATAGAGACTGTCCGTGTGGTGACGGATTAAGAATACAGAGTGTCACCACCCCTATTCATCCCGTGGGTGTCGTAAGAGCCGACTAAGGGAAAAAACTACGCAGAACAACAGCACTGCAGAGAGAAGGAAAACTTGACACAAACCCTATACCAACCCGTCTGGCCAGCGTGGTATAGTAGGCCAAAACCTCATTTCTAAGGAGAGGCTTATGTCCAGCAGTGGACTATTAAAGGCTGTTGATGAATAGAGACCGAATTTTTATTACGAGGCCTTCTTGTCGAAACGTCAGACATTTACATTAGGACTGAGGTGTGAGTCTCGAGTAAACATGGGAGTATCAACTTATAATGGCCAAAGACGTTTTTACTTTTGCTTTTAATTTGTTGTGTGTGTGTGGCCACAATCATTGATCCTTTAAACTAAGCTCAGAGTAATTCTGTTTTTCTCGTTAACTGTGGTCCTGATCATCATTATAATACTTTGTCATTCGTTCAGTGAATACCTATATGTTATCTATAAGTTATAGTCACTTATTCACCCTTTCAGACCACCTTTTTTTTTTTCACCTATCGGTGGCATGTCGGACACGAACCGACTAAAACCGCACGCCGTCTCGAGTACTAATAGCCGGGGAACCAGGTATACCCTAGCAGGGAAGTCCCTGGCGCCCCGACATACCTTTCAGACCACCTGGAAATGGACAGTTTGTATGTAGTAAGACTATAGACTATTTTTCTTTGTCAACAGTTCAGAAACGGGCTCGGATCACGGAAGTATGCTCCAGCCCTTCACCACCGACGGAACAGCAGTCTGATTCCAAAACTCCTGTGCCGACTCCTCCACTAACAACGCCACCCCCTCGTTCACCATCCGACCACGAGCTCAACGTTGAAGAAGAATTGGACGAAACGGAACCCTCACTCACTCCCGAAAATCTTTCCATGAAAGAACAAAGAGAAGAATTACCAATCAAAAAAGAAGAAGAAGAAAAATCATGGGAAAATTCTGAATTCAAATATAAAATGTTCAGACGAGAGAGAAAGGAGACTGTGGAAACTGTGACAGAAGATCCTTCTCCGTATCAAAAATCTCCAGTCGATGTCCTGATAAAAGTGTTTCCCAGACGCAGTCGAGTCGAAATTGAGGGGATCTTAAACAGATGCAAGGGTGACGTGGTAGCGGCCATGGAAATGATGATCAACGGAGAGAACTCCACCCCGTACCAAATGACCCAAGAATCTCCCCCCTACATGCAAAATTATCAGTCGAAATCGGCTTTTTCTCCGCTTTCCAATCAGAGCTTTAAGTTCTCCCCGTCTCGAAGATTCCTGACTCCACCGTACAGTGGTACGGGGTACCTGCCTACAGTTATTCGGCCACCTCCTGAATACTTGTCCTCGTTCATGCCTCCTTCGGAACTCATGTACGGAAGACAGTTGCAAGTTCCTTCACCAGGAACTTCTCCTACATCTGATAATACGAATAATGATGGTTTTTCTGATTAAATGTAAGTTTAGTACTGGAAAGTGCTGTAGGAATTTTAGTGTTTCTTTAAATCTTGAAGTTATGTGTGATAGAATTTTGAATGTAAAATTTTAAGTTTACTTGCAACGTCATAGCAATAAATATTAAATTCAATTTAATTTACCTACTTAAACAAATCTCTCTCTCTCTGGTTGTTTCTTGATGTCTGAAAATCGTGATCAGCATCAGATTTACATCTGAAACAGATGATGTTGTCCACCGGTTCCTGTCCAGAGCGTCTCTCAAGACCGTGTATAAATTCAGGGTCTTTAACTTGGTCGGTCCTTGTTGTTAGGTAACCAGATATTCATCATCATCATCATCATCAACAGCCTTTAACAGTCCACTGCTGGACATAGGCCTCTCCTTAGAAAGGGGGTTTTGGCCTACTATACCATGTTGGCCAGATCGGTTTCTCCGATTTCACTTTTAGCATCCATTATTCTCAAAGCGAGTTGCCTCTAACATGCACAAAACACGCTTGTAAGCTATTATAACCACTTACGAAAGAACGCGAATCGCTTTTTGGTGGTTTGTGGTTGTTAAGCAGTATGACAAAAATTGATTTTTAGATGTAAAACTCCAAAATGTTGACTATAAAACATATTGTCTCCTTTATTACATCTGTATTCTAATATTAATACATTGTAAATATGCTTGCTTATAAATTATAAATACTGCTAAACGTAGTACTTACTTAGATGTAGAAACAATACGGAATAATACTTATTCAATCTAGTTTCATAGAAAATTATTAGATTTATTTCATTAAAATGGTAGCGTAGAACGCTGTACAAATTTGTAAATATACTTAATAACACTATAAATATACACAATAATACTAAACATTAATGATTTACATAAAGCTATTTAATGATAACAATTCGAAACTTTTGAAATATTCAAACAGTGATATTAGTAACATTTGAAATAATTTTACGTGTTGAATTTTAACTTAAATTAATTAATAAACAGATACTACAAAGTCATTTCGTTTTCATTATCATTATTAATTGAATTATTATTAAGTAGATTTAATTAAGTTATAAATTGAAATGATGATTGGAATGAAATACTCTTTAAATAATAATTAGTGTTCAATAGTTAGAGAAAAATACGATAGATATGTAACAAGAAATGTAAATAATAGTAATAGTACAATGTTTACCCTTAATATTTAGAAATAGTAATAATAATGTAAAATAATAATAGATAAACGTGCTCAATAAATCAATACACAAATGTGTTTGTTTAATTTTTATGAGCCCTGTGGCTACCTAATATCATTAACAGCTTTTAATAGTCCACTGCTGGACATAGGCCTCTTCTTATAAAGGAGGTTATGGCCTACTATACCACGCTGGCCAAACGGTTTGTTCTGTTCCAGTTCATCATTGTTCAAATTTTTCCTTCTCTTTGCAATGCTGATGTCCTACAGAGTTTGCTTCCTTAATCGGCTCTTAAGACACTCGCGGGATGAATAGGGGTGATGACACTCCGTATTCTGAATTCTTCACCACACGGATATACGGTACCGTCCATTTTGGAGGGACGCTCAATCTTTAAAATACCATACACAGGTAAGGTGGTAATGATTATTAGCAATACAGAAAAAACATCTTTCATGAATGAAAGAAATATGTATAATAAACACATCTCTCGGTCTGCCGAGTGGCAGTCTCATTACAATTCCTATTAATAATAATTATTATTAAACATGTGTGTTATTAAGCATATGCAGGGGCACCACAGTACCAGCTCCTGAAGCTGGTTCGAATCCAAAAGATTTGCGACCGGCTCTATCCCTTGGCGTTACGTAGAGATGTAGTTTCGCTGTGCATTCTCTATCGTATATATCATGGAGAGTGCTACGAGGAATTGTTCGGAATAATATTAGTCGCTTTCCATCACCCGACTGTTTGCCCCTATTCCATTATAAAAAAAACCTAATTAAGAGTACCTCAGCAGCAGTATGGATTTAAAAAATATAAGTTTTCACTAAACATTAGTTGATTCAGTTAAATTCTATTGAATTATGTATGACACAATCGCAAATAAATATTGACAATGATGATACTAAGAAGGTATATGAAAGCTTTCTCGCTAAAATAAATATTAAGAATTGGCGATTCATGATTCGCTACTACAACATCGAATATTAACCTTGTTGTGTATATTATATTAACACTATATTACTATATTATAATAACACCATTAACACCACCATATTATTATTAACACCATGATTCTGATATTTCTAGGTTTTTCGTAGTCTGAAAAACACCAATAAGTAAATTCACATGATGGTTTTGCCAGACCTTGACAATACACGGTTTGAAAAGTTTCCACGTCACGGAGTTAATGAAAAAGGATTGCATCGCTTTATTAATCACTCTTGTAACACAGTATTGACTTACCTTGACACACAAGGCCTTTGATTCAAGGTAAGTACCCAGTACGTTTCTCTATAATATGTATCTATTTAAAGATATATAAGTATGTTTATCAGCAGTCTGGTTACCATAGCTCAGGCTCTACCTAGTTTGGGATCAGACGGCCGTGTGTGAGATGTGTGAGATATATTATATTATTATATATTATATAATCATCGAAATATCAGCTATATCATTAAAACAAGCTCAATTTTTAACTCTCATCTCTCGTAATTGTTAATAAAGTTATATTAAAGCAAAACGAGAATTCAAAGTTTTTCAGTTATATAACGGGCAAAATAGTATACCGGTCACCTGATGAAGTCAATAAATCCGATTCTATAATAAAATTCCAAATAGTATACAAGATTTTAGTCTGAACAAATTTAAAATCACAATTAAATTAAAAACTATGTCAGAAAGCCTATTACTCAATTGTGGAATACATAGAAGACAAGAACGTTTGGGATTAATTTAGAACAGGCTATTTTGTAGTGGAAATGTGATGTGGGCTAGTGTGTCTGTTATTTAATTTTCAATTTTTTAATGTTTTACTTCACTTTATTTTTTATTTCATCTTTTTTCTATATCTTGTTTTCTCTTCATTGCCTTTTACTGATGATTTATTTAATGATGCCATTGTATGTATTTGTTGATTAAAAAAGAATGGCCGTGGGTTTGTTTGCCCTTTCTTGTCATAAGGTTCAACCCCTTGGAAATGTGCGGTTGTAGATCGGCACAGGCATACATATAAGAGATTTTCGATACGTATATCGAAAATCTCTTATATGCAATTCTTTTAGCTATGCTATTTTTTCTTATTTGCTTATATTTAGTTTGATAAATATTTGACAAAACAGAGATTGTTGATATTGTGTGTGTTGATCTATGACTTTAGAGTCCACACAAGAGACGATTCTAAATAATTAAAAAAAAAATGAAATAAAGATAGTTTAAGTTTGATTTTAAATGACTACCATCCCATGGAGACCAAGTGCTTTGCCGCGTTTTAAGGTTGTGACCCAAGAATAATAGGGGAGGGGAGGGGGGAATGTTTTTGGCTCCACTAACCTAAATCATCCGTTGAAAAGCAACGAAAAGATTTCCTCAACACCGGTTTTCTGTGAAACTGTCTCAGTCCGGTCAAGCAGATGGGAGCAATGTTTCGACACAAATAGCCATTTCTGTTGATACAATGCTCTCATCTGTAATTTCAATTTATCAGTTTCAAAATAAACTTTTCTTGAAAAATTATAGCGTTTTACTTTATAGATCCATTGTTATAATAATCGCTTATCGTTTATAGTTGTAATACCCAAACCTTTATGTTATATTGGTTTGTTTATATTGGTCCATATCACAACTTTTGAGTTGCAGGTGTCCATGGGCGGCGGTAGTTGCTTACCGTCAGGTGACCCGTCTTTAGGTGGCTCGTTTGAAATCAAAAACATTATAAAAATGCCATAACCATAACCCACCTTTTTCCACAATAAGTTTTTCTTGCAGGTATCTTATTTTAATAGTATTCTGTTAGTATTTTATAAATGACATTTAAATTAAAACTTGAGTGAGTCTTGACGCATGGATGTTTGCTACTCAATTAAGTGAAGTACCCTGAACGTATGTGGATATAATTTAGCACAGAGATATACATATGGAAATGTACACTCGGTTCCAAAAATTACGGGTCAGTCACAAAAAATTGAAATACCTCCAGAACTGTAATAGTTAGATCAATGAAATAAAAAACAGACAGACAACTGGTGGCTACAATGCTCCGAAATCGTTTTCAAACTGCTGTTGGTCTAAAAACTCACTTTATTCGCTTTGGAGGTGGCAATTTAAGCGCTCAAACAGTAAGAAGACATCTTGCTGAAGCAAATTTGAAACCATTGAGGCCCGCAAATGGCCCCAAACTGGAACGGGGACATCGAATTGCAAGGACTGGACACTAGACGATTGGTCTAGGGTAATGTTCACGGACGAGTCTAAATTCATGCTTTATAAGCATGATGGTAGGCAGTTGGTGTACAGAAGACCAGGGGAGCGCTTCCATCAAGCGTGTGTGGAGGAAAAAGTGGCGTATGGTGGAGGCTCGCGAAGCCCGGACTTAAACCCCATCGAGCACGCCTGGGACGAGCTTCAGAGATGCGTGAAAGGTCGAAACTCCCCACCAATCACGCTTCCCGAGATCAAACAAGCACTGGTGGAGGAATGGGAAGGTATTCCTCAGTACCGGCTCCGAAATTTGATGTACAGCATGTCTAATCGCCTGGAAGCTTTCAGAAGAGCTCGTGGAGTTAATACAAAGTATTAAATGAAGAAAGTGATCAAAAACAGCATAAAAACAATCATAAACAAATGTAATCTTAAGAAAAATATGACTGCTTTAGTTTTTTTTTAATTTAGAAATAAGTTAAGAGTTAGGGAGTTTAGATTTAAGTTTTATTTTATTTTTTATCTGTATAATTAAATTCTCAATTGAACAGTCTTCGTTTCATTAGGATGGCATACGTAGTTCGGGAGATATTCGGGTTTATGTGACTGAC